TTTTATTTATCGAAACAATGGAAACCTTGCTTATTTATGGATGAATATTGTTTAGTTATTATTATAGGTTTGCTGGTAATGAAATAAATAAATAATTTTTTAAAAATTAAAATGATATTTACGGCGTGCATATGCATGCCTTAATTGTGAAATATTTTACCGTAAATGAGTTTTTACGGCGTGCAGTTGTCACCTACCTTTTACGGCGTGCATTGTTGAACGCCGTAAAAGGTAGGTGACTTTTTACGGCATGCATTCTAGCACGCCGTAAAAGGTATCTCAGTTTTTACAGCGTGCATCCGCACGCCGTAAAAAGTCATTTACGGCGTGCTGTTGCGGCGTGCACTTTTTACGGCATGGCTTTATATGGCGCGCGGCTGCACGCCGTAAAGAGGCTTTTACGGCATGCATTGCACGCCGTAAAAAGTGAAATTTGTTGTAGTGACTCATTCCACACCCTTGCCATCCCCATTTCTACCCTTATGAACTATTGACCACGGCCACCTACCACCATTTCACCAAACGATTGGCCGCGACGACAAGATAGAGAAGTAGTAGAAGCGATGGCGTGAGAAGTAATAGCATTTGGGCAAGCGGCAACTGCCAGCCTCCAACCTCCAACCACCACTTTACTAGTCGATTGACAATGACGGCATGACAAAGAAGAAGTAAAAGAGATGGTGTGAGAAGCAGTGGCGTTTGGGCGAGCGGTCTCGAGTGAATTTTAGCAATCTGAGAGGTTCGATCTGAAATATTCTCGATGTCTATGGTGATGGTTTGTGTGAAGAAGAGGTGAAGGTTGGACGTATTGGTTGTGGTTGTGGTATGGTAGAGCTTGAAGAAATGGTGGTTTTGCGATCTATACGACGAAGAGGTGGTGGTTGTGTGGTACAGGTGGTGATGGTGGTGGTTTAGTGGAGGTAGTGGTGGTGATGTGGAAATAGAGATGCTGGTTGATTTAGGAAGGTGTTGGTGGTGGTGCCACGATGACCATAACAATGGTTGTAAGGTGGCAGTGACGTATGGGTCTCGTGGTGGTGGGTGGAGTGGAGTGGTGTGGTGTGGGATGGGATGAAGAGTGTTTATGAGTAATTATTTGAGTAATAGTGACCAAGAAAATAGATAATTTGTAATCGATAAATAAATTATGATCTCTAAAATTTGTGATTAAATTAGTATTTGTAACCCATATTTTTATGTATTTGTGACTGGACATTGTGTGGTTTATGATTTGTATGTAATTGTGACCATAAATTGTATGTTATTGTAATCTTAACTTATTTAAATAATAAATGGGTCAAAAATATTTTATCAGGTGGTCACATTTGTGACTGACTGGGTGACTACTTGATTTTTGAAAGAATTCCAGAAGTTTTTAAAATTTGAAAGTGTATCTTGAAACTATGGTAATTATGTATTTTTTAAAAAAGCCAAATATGACAAATTTTTCTTCATCTATATAGTTTTAAAGAAAATCAAAATGCTCATGGCCTAGATCGGCCCATCATTGATTATGACTCATGGATCAATCTAAGCATGCCATCCCTACTTATACTGTAGATAACATAAAAATTCAAATTTGACAAATTTTACTTCAACTATAAGTCCGTGTTTGATGATATTAAAATCAGATTTATTAGAACTTGGACAAATAAATAGGTTATTAGAGAGCAGGTGAAAGGCTCAAGACAAAAGGAATTGACATTTTTTATANACTGTGGCAAGGAAATTATTGCATCTGTGTACAATTAATTATACACTATTTTGGCGAGAAATTGTGCTGATAGCGTGTTATAAAAGAGAGAATAAGGAAAGAGAGAATAAAAGATAGATTTGTGTGTATCATAATGAAACTCAAAGCACTATATTTATAGAGAAAGATTAGAGATACAAATGATAATAATTTCTAGGGCTATAGATGTACACTTGTCATTCACTAATAACTTACCATTTACAACAATAGAAACCTATTTTTTAAGTTTATGTTTTAATAATGGATTAATAGCAAAAAATCCCCTAAAATGTTTCAATTTGCGACATATCCCCATTCCCATTGGAAATCGCAGAAAACCTTGTATTTGAAACATTTTGTGTGAAAACCCCCTATCGTCAAAATTTGCCGTTAAAAATAGTAAAAATGTCAAAATTAAAAAGTAATAATTGCAATTTTAGTATTCAAATTTTTTATTCTTTTACAAATTATCCATTTTTTTATGTACCACCCAAAAATCCCAAACTTTTAAAACTTTATTTTCCACCCCACCCCACTTCATCTTCTTCCCCAAAATTTTATTATTTTATTTAATCCCTTTTAAAATCCTCCTAAATCCCTCACCCCAAATTCGTCATTTCTTCTTCTCATTTCAAATAGAAATCTTTGGGGTAAGGGATTTAAGAGCTAAAAAAAGTGCTTTTGACTACCAATTTTAAGTTTCTTACGGATATATTATTTTTAACTTGAGTGATTTTTATTTTTTCTACTTGTATGTACACTCGAAATAGAAATAGTTATAACATATATCTTTTTCTGTCTTTTTTTTTTTTTCAGTTCAATCTACTAGAGTTTAGTTAAAGTTTAATCTAGAAATCAATGGGTGACAGTCAATACTATTTCTCTCACCACTTTCAAGTATGCATTCATCCACTATGTATGTGTTCTAA